TGACAAACAAGAACTTGATGAAGTGACAGGCAGAAGTGTGTGTGTTACTAAGTCTGATTCATTCCAGTGCATTCTAATGAGAATCTGGACATGTGGTCCAGTGATTAATTTCTGGATCATATATTGTGGCAGTCTATTCTCCAAGCTCTTAAGGGGTAACCTTTGCATCCCAACACATTGTGTACAACATGTAATATGTTTTAAAATGGGCTCAATGTCTTCTACATGTCCCTCAATAAATAATGCAAGACTGTCCTTTAAACAGCAGTGGTTTACCTGTTCTCAGCGTTGGTGAGGTTGCCAGTACATTCATTCACCTCTAGAGGGCATTCACAGGGGCACTCACATTCATTCTGCTCCATTCTGGGGAAGATGAAAATACATTGAAAATGTCTGTTTGCAGGTCTTTTAACCTGGAACTATCATCTTCACTATTATTTATATGAATGGACTTAAAGTTTGAGATTTCTGGCTATGACTTTTGCTAGTGCAGTCTTATAAATTGATTTAAAAAATAGCTTTAGCCTTTTAAATGTCTTTTAAATGTACAATCTTCACATTTGGACAAATGCACTGCACAAATTGTTCTCAAATCAAATGCAAATTTTGGTTCATAATTGTGAGTTACAACTAAAGCTTATTGGCATTTTAAATAAATACATGCATACATAAATAGGGATGAGCCCTTAATGTGTCCCGTCCAAACTTCCTCTTTCCAGGAAATACATTAACATAGGATAGACAACTCAAACCGTTTCAAGGGGTCCTTAAGTATGAGAATGGGAGAATTAAAGAATTGATAGACACTTAACTGTACTTAAATATTTTTGTATTTAATTGAATTGAATTTTGGCTATTACATTTCTATCACAAAACTTCTTTTATTTTCATTATGATTAAAATCCCTAACCCTAACTAACTAAATAAATGCTTTTCAAAGGTTTTGGGTCAGTCAGATTTTATTATTTTTTAAAATAAATTAATGGTTTTATTTAGCAAGGATGCAGTACATTTAACAAAAATTACTTCTGAACCTTCTATTCTACAAAAATTTTTAAAAAACATGAAAAAAATATAATTGTTTCCACAAAAATATTAAGCAGCATAACATTGATAATAAAAAGAAAAGTATCGTGAGCACCTAATCAGCATTTTGATTTCTGAAGGATCATGTGACACTGAAGGCTGGCGTAATGTCTAATATAGCATTGCCATCATAGGTATAAATGACTTTTGGAATATAAAGGCCTGGTTTCACAGACAGGGCTTAGGTTAAGCCAGGATTAGG